TTTAAGGATCAGATTTGGTTTAAAACTAACAGTAGGGAGAAGACTGGGGTGGTTATGGACAAGGCATGAAATTAGGAATCAAACAGGAACATGCAATACCTAGTTAGTTACATGGACACTTCAAATGGTAAGTAATAACTTCGTATGGATGGGGGAGCTTTGCACATTTAAGATCAAGTTAAACAAGTCATGAAGAGAGGGAGTTACAGGTAAAGAGAAATATTATATTAAAACCAGTTTAATTTAGGCATAAATCTAATTTAGCATATAAGTATGAAATGGCCATACTTCTATTTTTTCATAAGTTATCACTTGATTATAACAGAGTGATTAAGTCATATATTCTAGAGAAGATAATCTTAAAGATAAAATGCATGTCCACTTTTCAAAGACCAATAATAACTTAAAAGATTAGGGACAAGGAGGTATCACCCCAAGTTAGCATTAAATTAAATATGCAACTGAATATGTTAACTAATCAAGAGACAACTAAGTTTAGCTTAATGATAATTATCAGTCGCTCATAACAAACAAGATCATGACTTGTTTTATGAAGGAAGGATAATTTAATTTCACAAATGTGTACAATAGAATTACTGAGATTCATGAAGAAAAGAAAATTTTATTCAAACTAACCAAGTCAATAGATGCAACAACATCAAGATAAGAATGAAAATGTCATAGTGACAAACCAGAAATAGTGTTCACAGTATAACAGACATAACTATGGCAAAGAAAAACATATAAACACTTAGAGCTTCATGTTTAAGTTAAAGGGTAGATTATATGAACTTAAACACCTTTAGATTCCTCTCAGTGTTGATTATCAAACAAATACACTTAACCATAAGACGAATGGCATACACGGAAAACAATATATAAGCCAAAGATAGCTACATAGTCATCAATGAAAGCTGTGGAGTTCATACGAACATGAACAATCATTCAAAACACATTATAACTCAAACATATAGACTGTTGGAAACTCAAAAAAAAATCAACAGTAATCACTTAATGGCCTGATCAGTCACCAATTAAAGACTCGAAAGGCATGACAAATAATCACAAGTAGTTATTAGACTAACGGAATGTAAGCACTAACATACTAGTCACAAACACCATAAACAACCATGATTCTCAGAAGACAACTAATATATTTATAGCATTCAAAAGAGATAAGAAAAAGGGAGAGCTGAGATATATGCTGACCTTTCTCAGGACAGCAAACCAAATGAAAGCTTTCTTAGTTGCTTAAGACCCCAAGAACCTCAAGTTTGAATCAGCAACAGTACTCAAAAATGAAAAGAACAGTAAGAAGACCTAGGCTTTTTGACTCTAAATTTTCTTAGATGATATAGTGTTCATATCTGTATGTGTTATGTAAGAGCATTAAAACCCCCTTTTATAGTGTCATTTAAGGCTCTAGGGTTTCTCAAATTCAAACTAGTTAGTGGAAGATGACGATAGTCGAGTGATGATAGCAAAGTAGAGGTAAAATCAGAGAACACATAGGGGAAATAGTGAGGAGTTTATCTAGGTATGGAAAATTGATCGTTGAACGCAAAAATCCATCAGTCAAAGCTCGATTTTCCAGAGGTCATTGCTTCTGACCTTTGGACGTCAAATAATGATGATGAGTTCAGAGAAAATCTTCATGCATGGTTCGATTTGAAAGAACATAAGAGGAACCAGACGATTTGAACTTTCGTCTCTAAGTCTAGAGTATCAGATTTGGGGATTTCGAATTCAATCAATGAAAATGGAAAGATAGGCTAGATTCGCAAATGTAGAGGGCAAAGGAGATGATTTGAAGACAAAATTTGTGACCTTGCAAGAATTGGTGCAAGGTCTATGATTGATTAGGGTTGATGGGGCTTGAGAGATGGAAGAGAGAAAAGGGAAACTAGGGCGGTTATTTCAAAAAAATGAGATAGGGTTTAGGGTGTCTCTAGGTTAAGAATGGGAGATGGAACGAGAGTTGTTGGATCTATTAATCAATGGCTCCGATCATTTGGTAATAGGTTTTTTAGAAATGACTTAAGTGGGAAAATTGGCGGCCGTTAGATCAAAAGAATTTGGATGGTTGGGATTTGATCTCTAGGGGCTGGTATTTAGATTAAAAGGAAAGTCAGGGAATAAATGTGAGTCATTGATCTGAGGAACAGACGGCTCAAATTCATTTGTTCTTCTTGTATGAGTGATGAGGGAGGGTGATACAACGTGTTATGATTGGTGCAAATGGAATCACTTAGATTGCCATGGTGGAAAGAGATGAGTGTATTTTTGGATTGGGCTTGTTTATTGGGCCAAGATTAATTTAAAAAATGGCCATTTTACCTTTGATTCAAGAATTGCAATTGTGGCATTTAGGCCTTTTAACCCCTTGTAAATTTAATTTAAATAAACTTAATAGTTTTTAATAAATATGGTAAAAATTATAATTATTATATACTACTAATCATTTTGAACTAATTATTCATAAAAAATACTTCATTTTTCTAAATTGTAACACTAACTTTGAATTTCACATAATAATCTAATTTACTAGAAAATTAATGAGTAATTTATTAAATTAATTTTAGAATCTACGTAATGTATATATAAAAATTATTTTAATAATCTTAAAATAGTAAATAAATTTGTAATTACATAATGTCAATGATATGTGAATAATTTTAAAACTAATGCTTGATTAATTTGTGAAAAATAGATACTAATTACTGGAAAATACTTTAAAAATATTTATAGTAAATTATTATGTACAAATAAATTAATTTAAAAAGGGAGGGTCAAAATTGGCGGTCAACACTCCCTAGTCCCCTGACCATGGATTTGGGGCACAATTATTCACCTCCTTCTGCCGATCCCCAAGGGAGGAGGGGCGTCTCCCTCTCGGTCTCAAAGGAGTGCCACCTACTGTCCAAGTCGGTGGAGCTCGCCATTTACCTGAAGTCGCTGGCTTCAAAGAAAGATAAAAAAAATACACTCTCTTTCAAGGGAGTGTATGTTAAATAACACCAAGCACAATGCAACAGCGGTATTATACTTGTTCTTTTTACTGCTTGTTTCTATTCATCTGTTACAACAGGGTTTTTGACTTCGATATTTGTTTTACATGCCAACTTCCTTGCTTCTGAGGGCCTTCAGAGATTGATTCTTGTCAAAGAGGGATTTATGTCTGAGTGGGATAAACTGTTGGCCGAGAGGATCAACTCACCGCACGCCTTCCGGTACTATAGGCGAAGGCTATTGAAGTGGTCGAGCTTGAGTCTCGGTTTCAACAGAGTGAGTAGGATGTGTTGTCTCACAGCCAAGAAGCCACTCAGCTACATGCATAACTTTAGGATGCAACGGCTAGGTGGGCTGAATATCAAGATGTTGCACTTGTTTCTATCGAGCACGAATATGCCTCCACCGAACGAGCAAATAATTTAGAGGCAGCTTTAAACTCAAAGGCTAAAGAGTTGTTGCTGCCCACGAGAAGCGAGCCCTGATGGAAGATAGGTTTAAGAAGATCATGTATCAAAATAAGGTTCACATAACCACAATCTATGATCTCGATCTTAGCCTTAGTGCCATGAGATCCGAGTTGAATGGCCTTTTGACTGAGGTTGATAGGCTTAAAGCAAAACTTCAGCACCAAAGAGATTCCCTCATCATTGAAAAAATACACTCTATGTACCATATGAAGAGGAAAACCTTGGAAGAGGCCAAAGTGGGCATTATCGATATAGATGATGAGATTGCAAAGGCCCGAATGCTGGAGTTAACTACTCAAGAACACCTCTCGGCTCAGCCCGATGCAACTGACTCTTCTAGTCCCGCTTTTAAGTTTTCGGGAACCAAGGAGAAACTTGAAGAGAATGATGATGAAGGCCAAGATCCTGTGCCGACTTTAGATCCGCCCACCTCCCCTGGCAGCGTAGATGCTTCTCTTCCCCCCAAGTTTCTGTGGAGATGAAGTTTAGCCTTTTGATTTCTTTTCTTTTGTTGTATTTTTTTGTATCTTTGTATTCGTGACGCTTGGCATGTTTGATAAATAAATAAGGACCTTTTGTTTAAGTATTGTGCAAAGTTCATTCCTTTTGCATCGAATTAAGTAAGGCTTTGGGCGTGTTTTCTTCCGATAGCTTTTGGGTTCCGGGCATAAATTTTGTTAGAACCAACCCTTTACTATGAGGGTTTCATAAGAGAATGCCCTCTTATGTTTACGGTGTTCTTGAAGAAGACGTCTCATGTTCATTCCAGTACTAATATTTGAAGTTTTTGGTTAACTTTCAAATGATAAAATCAATTCATCGTTTGGACAAGAAACAAGATAAAAATAAAATGACTTCATTTTATTCTTCTCTCTTCAAAAGTACATAAGCATTTATTTGCTGAAAGAAAAGAAATTGCCAATACATGTGGCTAATTTATACAACTTATTTCTATGAGGCTAGCTATGCAGTCCCCGGTCCTGATAAGACATTATTGTTTCCGGGTCTCACAGTCCCGGTTTTCGTGGAAATCAAGTTGACGTATTCTCATACTATTCCCCCCATTGTTCGAATGTGAAGAATATGAATTGGAATACTGGAAGTCTTGCTCCTCTGAGAAAAAATACTTCTGAACGGTTGAATAGCCTTTGGTTCGATGGCAAGTTTTGCTTCCCATTAGGAATTTGCCATCGAGCCAAAGACTATTTAACCATCCCGCAGTGGTTTGTCGTTTCAATGCCTTGTCATTTAAAGGTCTTAACTCTGCTGATGACGTTTCCTTCATAGTATGCTTTCCGTTTCTACCTCGTTAAAAACCTTGCCAGAAAAAATCCAATTGGGATAAAAAGTGGGCGAAGGAAGAAAGAGAGCAGGATATACTTTCAGTGTAAGCAGGATCCATCAGCAATAATACTTTTTGAGGTGAATCATATTCCAGTTGCTCGGAAATTTGACTCTGTCTTGGTTCTCTAGTACATATGATCCTTTTTTCGTGATAGCTAAAACCCGGTAGGGGCCTTCTCATGTTGGACTCAGCTTTCCCGCATTGATCTCCCGGGTGTTCTGAGTCACTTCCCTCAAAATTAAGTCTCCCACTTTAAAATAGCGAAGATTGGCTCTCCGGTTATAGTATATTTCCATCCTTTGTTTCTGAGCCACCATTCTTATATGCGTCAAGTCTCTGTGTTCGTCAAGAAGCTCCAATTTGGCCAGTAATGCCTCATTATTTGCTTTTTCGTCCGCCCGGAAGTACCGCAAGGTCGGTTCTCCTATTCCACCAGGATCAGATCTTCTGTACGTATACGAAAGAGAAAGGTGTATCCCACGTGCTCGACTTAGACTTCATCCGATGTGGCCACAACACTCCCGGTAACTCTTTGCGCCTGCCCATTTGTGCTCGAATGGTATAACGAAGATGTGATTATTTTAATTTTTATGTCTTCAAGAAATTTTGTGACCTTGGAGCCTATGAAATGTGGTCCGTTGTTGTAGGCAATCTCCTTTGGTATTTCGAATCGGAAAATTATATTTTCCCATAGGAAATCGACCACTTCTCACTCACCGATCTTTTGGTAGGGACCTGCCTCAACCCATTTAGTGAAGTAATCAGTTCAAATTAAAAGAAATCTTACCTTCCCAGGACCTGGTGGCAGCAGCCCAACTATATCCATCCTTTATTTTATGAATGGCTATAGGGACATTATCGAATGCAATAATTCTGTCGGTTGGTGCACTAACGCTGCATGGCATTGACACTTGTCGCATTTCTAAATGAATGCTTTCGCATCTTGTTCCATTCGAGGCCAATACTATCCTACTCTAACTAATTTTAGCACTAACGAATCTGTACGAGAATGATTCCCGCATATCCTTTCATGAACCTCTCTCATGACGTCATCTGCTTCCGAGGCTCCTAAACATCGAGCCAACAAGCCTTGGAATGACCTTATATATAGCTTCCCCCCCCCCAAAAAAAAGCTGTAGCGAGCTTCTTTAGTGCAGAGTGACCGGGATGTCTTCGGGTCTTCGGGAAGCTTGTTGTGCCGAAGGTAATCGATGAACTCATTCCTTTAGTCCAAGACTAGGTTGGTTGTATTTACTTTACAATAACCGTCCACATCCAGTACCGAATGCATGAGTTGTACGACAGTACTAGAATCTGATCCCTTCATCTCTGTAGACGACCCCAAATTGGCCAATGCATCTGCTTATACGTTTTCTGTTCCCGGGATGTGGATGATCAACCATTCCCTAAACCATGTGAGCAAACTTTGAACTTTAATCACATATTGTTGCATGTGTTCCTCCTTTGTGTTAAAGATCCCATAAACTTGATTTACCACCAATAGTGAATCATATTTGATCTCTATGACCTCGGAGCCAAGTCCCCGCGCCAATTCTAGTCATGTAATAAATGCCTCATACTCGACTTCATTGTTAGTTAAAAGAATAATTTTTATGGCCTGCCTCAGGGTTTCTCCCGAGGGCGTGATTATGAGCACCCCGAGCCCGGACCCTTTCACATTGGAAGCTCCATCTGTGAATGGGGTCCAAACTCCTGATGTCATTTCCGACACCATCATCAATCCTTTTGCAGCCAAAGGTAGTAGCCCGAGACTTAAATTGGCCACGAAGTCAACCAAAACTTGTGATTTGATCGCAGTCCTAGGCTTATAATCAATATCAAATTCACTAATTTTAACTGCCCATTTGGCCAGCCGAACTAACAACTCAGGTTTGTGAAGGACATTCTGCAGGGGAAAGGTTGTCACAACAACAATCTGGTGGCACTAAAAATAAGGCCTAAGCTTTTAAGAGGCGACTACTAGAGCTAAGGCTAGTTTTTCAAGGGTCCAATAACAAGTTTCTGCTCCCGAAAAAATTTTACTAACAAAATAGATATGAGATTGCGTACCTTCATCCTCCCCGACTAGAACGGCACTTACCGCTACCTTCGAGACCGCTAAGTATATCAGCAAATGTTCGCCTTCCTCCCATTTTGATAGTAGCGGAGGGCTTGATAGATAAAGTTTCACGTCTTTTAAGGCCTGTTGGCATTCTAGAGTCCATTCGAAGTTGTTGTTCTTCTTCAAAAGTGAGAAAAGTGATGACATTTTTCTGAAGACCAAGAAATGAACCTGCTTAGAGCATCCAATCTTCCAATTAGTCTTTGGACTTCTTTCATGCTTGTTAGTTGGTCTAAGATGTCCTTGAATGCTTTGATCTTATTGGTATTGACCTTGATCCCTCTTTGTGACACCAAGAAACCCAAGAATTTCTCGGAGCTAACTTCGAACACGCATTTTTCGGGGTTGAGCTTCATGTTGTGCTTCCTTAGGATATCAAAGGTTTCCTGGAGGTGTTTAAAATGGCCACCTGCATTCAAAGCCTTGACCAGCATATCATCTTTGTATACTTCCATTATCTTAGCTATTTGTTTTTCGAACATCTTGTTCACTAGCCTCTGATAAGTGGCTCCGGCATTTTTAAGCCCAAAAGGCATCACATTATAACAATATGTGCCAAAGTTCGTTATGAATGAATTTTTTTCCTGATCCTCCGGGTTCATCTTAATTTGATTGTACCCGAAATAAGCATCAAGAAAAATCATTAACTCGATTACGACCGTCGCGTCAATCATCCGATCGATGTTTGGCAGTGGGAACGAGTCGTTCGAGCACGCCTTATTCAAGTCCTTATAATCTATGCATATTCGAAACTTATTACTCCTTTTTGGAATTACAATTACATTAGCTAGCAAGTCGGGATATGTTTCCTCTCGGATAGAACCGATGTCAAGTAACCGAGTTACCTCTACTAGGCGCTTTTTATGCCTTACTGGTGGGATGATTGGGTGCAGGCTTAGCTTGTGCACGGCTACCTCTAGCGGGATACCTATCATATCCGCGTGCGACCATGCGAAACAATCACGTTAGTTTTAAGAAAATCAATAAATCTTGACCTGAGCTCGGGGTTGAGTCCTATCCCTAAGTGAAATTTTCTCTCCAAGAACTTTTCGAACAAAGCCACTTGTTTGAGTTCTTCGACCATGAACTTGGTTGCATCTGTTTCTTCTGGTACCTGAAAGTATATTGGTACCATATGGGATTCTGACGACTCCTCCCCTTTGTCATCTTCGATCGGTTGGGGAATAGGCATCGGTTCCTATAATAGCTATATGTTGAGTTCCTTCCCTTTACTGCTGGAAATTGATACCGCATTCATTTCCCTTATTGTCGGTTGATCTCCTCTTATTTGTTTGATTCCCTCTGGAGTTAGGAATTTCAGCAGTTGGTGATATGTTGATGGTACGATCTTCATCTTATGTAGCCATGGTCTATCGAGAATTATGTTGTAGCCTATTTGCCATCCACCACTTTAAATAAGGTGGTCTTTGAGACCTCTTTGGCATCCATGGGCAGCAAGATCTCCCCTCTGGTTGTCACACTTGCTAAGTTGAACCCGGCGAGGGGTTTGTTGTCGGAATGATGCTTCTAGTAAGTTTGTCTTGTTCCAGCACCCTCCATTGAATGATGTTGGTTGAACTTCCTGGGTCAACCAAAACACGTTTAATCTTGAAATCTAAAATGTTAAGAGAAATTACCAGGACATCGTTGTGCGACAGAAGAAGTCCATTGGCATCTTTTTCCGTGAAGGTGATATCGTCTTTGGCGACTTCCTGTAGTCTCTTGCTATGAGTCAATGATACCTTTGTCTTCTTGGCAGCCNCCCCATATCGAAAATCATATTGATAGTTAGTCGAAGAGGGTCTTCCCCTATCTTCGAGGGTTCCGCGATGTCTCGGCTGCACCTATATCGCTTAAGAATTCTCTGAGATGGTCATCCTTCAGTAGTGTTTCCACCTCCTCGCGCAGATGCCAGTAGTCCCCAATTCAGTGGCCATGAGTCCCATGATATTTGCACCATAAATTAAGATCCCTCTGGTTGGGATTGGATCTCATCGGCCTCAGTAACAGTGCTTTCTTGGTGTTTCTCATTATCGATACCAGTTCCACTATGCTAATATTGAAATTATACTCTAACAGCCTGGGATAAGTGGAATCCCAGGAACCGATACATCTTTGTCCTGCAATGACCTGTTATTCCGACCGTAGTTAATTATTCTATTGGGGGCGAAACTACCTGCTGATCGGAATCCTTTGCTACTGCATCCTTCAGCCCTCTCTTAGGGAAAGAATCAGCCCTTAGAAGATCGCCGATCTAAATAAAAATCATCTTTCGATTTATCCCTATTCTTTTCTCGATCCTGACCCTTGGTTGATTCTTGGAAATAGAGTTGATCATCTTCTATCCTTATCTTTGATTCATAATGGTTATGGACATCCACCCATGTAGTTGCTTGTAACTTGAGTAGGCTTTCTTTCAGCTTTCGGGAGGAGTCAGAGCTCCTCAGGTTCAACCCCTTAGTAAATGCCACAATTGCCAATTTATCTGGCACGGCCGGTAACAATATCCTTTCTTTTTGGAACCTGATCACGAACTCATGCAGCAACTCGGACTCTCCTTTCAAAATTCTGAATATGTCCGTTTTTTGGGCCTAGACCTTCCTGGCCCCGGCATGGGCCTTGATGAAAGAATCTACGAGCATCTCAAAGGAATCTATTTAGAGTTCGGGTAAGAGTGAATACCATGTCAAGGCCCCCTTCGTGAGGGTTTCTCTGCATTTTTTCAGCAGGACCGACTCAATCTCATGTTTGGCCAAGTCGTTTCCTTTCACTGCCGTTGTATAAGTTGCGATATGCTCCTGAGGGTCTGAAGTCCCATCATACTTCGGTATGTTTGGCATTTTGAACCGTTCCGAAATCAATTCTGGTGTTGCTCTCGGCTTGAACGGCAATTGGGTGTACTTCGAGTCCAAGTCCTTCAATAGAGGTGGTGCACCCGGAATTTGGTCCACTCGAGCATGGAACCATTTCGCGTTTTGATCCATCCGCTCGTTCATTTTCCTCATGGACCTCATGAGTTTAATTTTGAATGGATCATTGCCGTTGTCATTATAGGCTCCACTATTGATCCCCCCAGCTCTGTCGAAGCCAACCTCACCCCTCGGGGTGTTATTATCAACTTTTTGAGCTGTTTGATTTGTGGGAGCGCCAAGAGGAACATGGCTTATTCCATTCGCATTGTTGGAAGTGCCTAACAATTCCTGCTTTAGTTCTATCACGGCCTAGTCTTGCCTTGAGAGATGGCCCATGATGGCCTTTTGCTGATCTCTTAGGATCCTTACTGTTTCCGCAACATGCTCATCCTCATCATCATCAAGAGTTGTCTCCTGCACATGACGGGGATATCACCCACCATGGATAGGAGTTGCTACGTCCCCCTCGTTGCGGGTGTCATTGATTGAATCCTCGTGTTGGGGCAGATTTTCTTGTGCCTCAACATTGTTTGTGATGTTGACATCATTAGCTGCCATTTTTTACAATTTTTTCTATGAAACAAAGAATCAAACAATTTAGTAATAGATGCAAGGATCAACTCAATTATGCAGCTGTCTAAGTCCCATAGTGGGTGCCAAACTATTTACCTGTAAAATGGAACAGTTGCATTTGTTGCGTGATTTATAGACAAGCGAACTGATTTGATCCCAAAATAATAAATAAATTAAATGAAATATAATACTTAACATTGAAATCGAGAGAAATAGCAAGCAACCTAGTTCCGGGAGCAAAGCTTTCGAAGACAGAAAGGACAATATTTGATAGAAAATAAAGTTATATTATTCAGTTTGATAGTAAAATGTAGCATAAGTTTTGCTAGAGATTTCGTGTCCTACAGTAGTTGTTTAAGTCCATTTTTGTAGCTATACCTAGGGAATAAGATCCTAGGATCAATCCCCTCTTAAATGACAATAATGAGGGTCATTGATGAATGTGTAACGGTAGGCCATGAATGCAAAAATTCTCTACAATGGTTGCATATTTAATACTGAGGAATATCGTTCATTAAATGTCATCCGATGACAAACATTCATTTGCCTCAGTTGACTGTGTTCCGTTTGGGATCTACCCGATACCAACAGAAGTTGTTGTCCTCGGTCTTGGTTCCTATACATTTCATCTCCGTCCGCCTCCGGTTTCATATGTCATGTAATCATTCGAGCATGTAATATAAACCAATTTCACCATATACAGTGGGACCCATAAATTACACTTGTCAACGCAATTGAGTGTCACGCTCTGATGGAGGTGTTTAAAACATATGTTTTGATAAGTTAAGGTATTCAAATAAAAAAGCTAAAAGTTTGTTCACCGGGATGAAAACTTGATGCAAGTTGAAGTGGCTATGTTTGACCAAAAAGTACAAATCTTCGGTTAAACTAATTAATTTTATGTAATAAAGGGTTAAACTAGTAATGATAATATCCCTAGATTCATAACTAATTAACACAAATAACATAAGATAATGTTGATGGAGGATTAAATGCAGTTAATATTTCAAGAGGAGTAATGATAGAAGAATATCAAGCAATAAATAACAATAAATAGCATTAACGTAAATAAGAAGAATGATTCACTCAATATTGAATGAGGTGGATTATTCTTCTTTCTGACAGTGATGAATGACAGACAAATCCTAGAATATTGAACTATTCTCGAATCTGATGGAAAAGTATGGAATAATGGATGGTAGAATCTTATTAGAAAGGTAGTGTTTGTGTCTTTCTAGAGAGAGAGAGTCTTCTTCTCAAAAAGTGTTCCTATCAGAACAAATTACATACTCTTTCCCCTTATCTCTTTTTCTATTTATATGAGACATATCCCCAGTCAATCCTAAAAGTACAAGTAGAGGGAATATTGAATAGAATATTCTTTTAAATATCCTATCACAAAAACTAGTCGTTAATACTATCTTTGATACTTGACCTCAGCCGTTATTGACCGCCCGGCTACGAGCCCCATTGTTTACTAGTTGACCTCGGCAATATCACTTTCCATAATACCACTTCATGCTGAATCCCCTTTAAGGAAAATTTTGACTTATACAGGCTACGAGTTCATTTTGCCTAAACTAAAAAAACAGAAGACTTTTGAACTTGTGGTGTAAAATGAAGCACATATATTTTGTGTGACTATAAATCATTACATAAAAGTAAATTGTTTCCAAATAGGGAAAGAGGTCATTCTTTTTGGCACGGACTAAAAATGAAATAGGTTCACATAAATTGAAACAGAGTGAGTAATTAAAGTCCAGCCGCCATAAAACTAAAGTGAATGACTCACAGCTGAAACAAATCAACCAAGGTGGAGTACGACCCGAGGGTAGTGGTAACGCCTACAAACGAAGAGAGCTTGCCCCGATGTTTGGAATCGGTAGTAATTGCGCAAAGGAGAGTCTTTTTTCCATCAGATTTCATCTCTTTTACTCCACATCTGCAGCAACTTCCCGTGCTAATACATT